CGCCCATTGTTTGCAAATGAATGGTCTGGCAGTGCGAAGATTTGTTTAAAGTACGTATAGATTATAGGAACTAGTTCTTTGGATTCCCAGCTGTCTTGCGCTTCGGCGATTTCCGACACTAGTGGCAGATCAGGGGCTTTCGGAGTCGTGATTTTTCGTACTTTCATCTCTCCTGCTCTAGATGCACATATGATTCTGATTGCTGTTTCAAATCTGTCTCCGGAGGAGTTTTGATCAATCATTTGCTCTTTTCGCTTCCTCGGAGCTGTTCCTTTGAGTTTCATTTCGATTCTTTGAATATTATGTCCTAGTATAGCTATATATATTAGGTATTACCTTTTTTTATACAATATAACTGTAATGTTTATGTAAAATGATAAATCATAGTTTTATTTATTTGCTTATTTTACGTCTATATTTTTTTTTATTTGCTTACGTCTTGTAATCAAGACCTGTGATTTTCTCTTTAATCTTCTTTAGAATTAGTGTGTATTTATAAACATAAATTTTTTCTTCTAATGTATTGTTTCAATGTCGCAGAACGAAATGTGGATCCTACCAATAGAAAAACCTCGAGCTATATTTGGTATCATTTTGTCAAATTAGATTAAAAAGAGGAAAATGTTGGTATTGTCAGCAGACAATTTCCTGTTTTTCGGGATCTGCCTCTAATTTAAAAACTTATTTTTACACTCTCTTTTGTAGTACCAACAAAGTATCAATTATAATAATAAAATAATGTAATCTTTAACAAAAGCGAGTTTAGTTTTCATATTTTTTAACTTTTAGCATTTTTTTAAATTCTAGCATTTTATTGTTGTTCTTTGTGGAAAGTTTTTTTTTACGGAATGGAGTTAAAAGAAATCAGTCCGGGGATTGAGCGGTTTGTTTGAGTCGATCTCAGCGATCCCATGCATTGTTTAGTTCTTTCTGCTTTTCCCCCATCTCTGCATACCGCTCTTAATCCATACCTGTTCCGAAAGCATTCATCAAGTTCATTTTTAGTGAGCGATGAATCGTTAAAATCAACTGATTCACTTCAGTGAGCGAACGGCTCCGGTCTGATCATTTAAAGGAGTGGTTTTTACCAGTCTCTAAAGAACAGCAGTTCAAACTAATTCAGTCAAAACCTACCTATGTAATATTTTAATCTAATAAGTATTTAAAAACTGAAGTGCGTGCAACGAAAGAACTTTAATGAGACAGTAATCTAAACTTTACTTGTTTCGAGCAAAGTCGAATTAAGAACTGTAGAGACCCTAAAAACTTAAAAGATTTTGATGACCTCACATTTGTTTACGGCAGTTTCCTCTTCATTGCCTCTGTCACTCTCTGTTTTGGTTTAGTTGCAGCATGCATTCCATAATAAAACCGTCAATGCGAAATTTTTTAGTGTCTTCTTTCTTTAGTGCCTAAAGACCTTTCTGTCGTACCCCCTTTCCTTGATATCCTAAGCACGTGCTTATATTGCTTGGTGGTTAATCCAGGCCTGATTCTGAGATTTATTATTATAATAAAAAGGCTGTCCAGCTGCAATGTTCGCGAGACAACATGAAGATCACGGTGAACCTCAAAGTCTTTTCATTTTAAGGCATTTTATATCTATAAAAATCGCATATATCAAAAAATATTTAGTAAATTCCGATTTTGAAATTTTTTAGACGCGGCTGTGCTAGCAGATGTTTAGTGAGCAGATGGGATATATCTTACAAAAGACCACTTCGAAATTCATGTAGAACAATTTAAACGCTCTGTATTTCTACATGTTAATCGTCTTGTATACAAATTTTTATTTTTCTTTTTCTTGCGAAAGATATTCAAGAAATGTGGTGTTGTATGTGATACTGTCTTGTACACAAGTCAATATAGTAATTCCTAAACAAAAAATAGTTCATTGCAAAAAATTATCACAAAAAAAGAAGAACATATCACCGGCTAGTTCCTTTCGAAATAGTCGATATTGTCTAAATATTGTTGTTACAATAAGCAGAGTATGGTGTTTTGAGTGTAAGTTGGAATGTTAAATGAAAAAAAAGCAGCTGGATCTCGGAACAGTTCTTCCCCCCCCCAATTTCCGGTAAGAACGGAGGAGAACCGCGTTGTTATTTAATTATTATGTAGAAAGATTTCTGAAGTTTCTAAAGACTCCAAATTGAAAGTAAAATCAATGCGAGCAAAGATTTCGGCATCCGCAAATCGAAAGTTTTAGTTTTTATGCCAACAATGGAAAGCCCAACAGCTGAAGACATTTTTACTTCCTTTTGCTGCAGATAGGTGCATTTGTTGCAAATCCATTTCTTCTCGAATTTGAAAGATCTTCAGATAGGTCCTATACACGCAAAACCCCACCCACCTCACAAAGTATTTTACAAATGCCCATGAATAAAGGTCCGGCATTTCGTCTCTCACAAATAAACCTTTTTTGTCTTGATTGGTATAAAGAAAAATATAAAACAATACTGTTTGAAGTTATTGAAAAGGAGAATCGAGAATAAGTTTACCAATGAATGGCGGGTGGAAATTAAGCGTTCTTAGCTCGTTTTAAATTTGAAGAAGAAGGAGATCTTGCAAGTTCCTTAAATGACGATAGAAGGGTAACCACGTAAAATGCAACAGCTTTCAAATGTTTAGTTCTTTTGCCAAAATGGCAGGAGTGAGGCATAAATGAATAAATAAATGAGCAACGTTTGCAATTTTTTTCTTATGGATCAGCAGAGACAACGTGAAGAGGCAAGGACACATGAAATGCATTTTAAAAAAACACTCGTGTGTATTTTATTGTCAGATTTCGTAACAAATAATTCCAAAGAATAATGAGTTAAATTTCATACAAAAATTCATTCATTTGCAAAAGATCACCAGCAGAATTGTACCATGAAATAAGTGTCACCAATCTACAGTACCTAAAAATTGCAAATTAAAAATTCGTAAAATTATGCGCGCTAAATAGTGAATATAAATATTACAGGGGATGGGAAAGAGCACCTACTTTCGCGCATGCGCATAAGCAGCCCAGGTACAAGGCAGGCGGAAGTGAGAGCGAAGGTTGTTAACTCTAACTCAGCAATAGAAAGGGTTGTTAATAGTTCACCAGCAAGAGAATAATTTGCAAGTAATAATTATCAGTTACAAAGACGAAGTCAATCTATATACATGATAATGTTCAGGAAATGATTAGATAAAATAGGGATTTAATGATGGTTCTAATTGCAAGCGAGGACGAGTAATTAGTTAAAAATCTTCAGTGTATTGACAAAAAGGCTACAGAAATTACTTAAATTCTTTTATTTAACAGAGGAATTTTTATGCAAACTTAGACCCTAGTCTTATAGCATTGGACTGTCAGAATTTATTATTCAATAAGAAAACTTAGTGAAAATTATAATATTCTTTATATTCATCACTTTTCAGTATCCACTCATGTTTATAGGTTAAAATCCCATATTCAATATCAAAGTTATTTATGAAATTAAAAACTTATAAAATCTGATAAATCATTTGTGTGTGCAAATTTTTAAATCATTCTCTCTTAATTAAATTATTTTTCTTTAAATTACATCATTATTATTTTAATTTTTTAATTGATTAGGTGTTTGTACTAATATTTCAAAGTTCTTTGAAGTTTTTGGCCTGAAAATGCCAAGTATTCCATAAAAAAAAATAAGCATACAGAATAATTCATTTTAGTTCATATAATCGCTTTTTAACTTATTTCATGTCTAAATTTTCTACACAGAAATCCACGTCTAATTTTGAGTATCTTTTATCGGACGAAATTTTTAAAGAGGAATGAATTAAACACTTGATTGAGCAAAACACATTTAAAGCTAAATGTATTCTAAAAAGTACAAAAAAAAATGTCAACACGATTTTGCCCCTCTCCCTTCAGATCAGTCATTTAAAACTATTCAAACCGTTCAGAAAAAGGATAAACATTGCGAACATAAAAATCTGCCCTTTTTTATATATACTTTAATAAAAGGAAATGTGTTCCTTCTTTTTATAAGAAAAGGAACCCACTTTCTAAGCTTTTGAAAGTCGCCAACGCTTAAAAAATGATAAACTACGACAAGGTAGAAACCCGCCTTTGCCAGCTCAATGCGCATGCGTGGTTAATGTTGGTGTGAGTAGCTTAAGCGGCTAATCTCACCGGTGGTGCGAATAGCATCGGCCGGAAAGAGTAGGCTACTCATAACATGATCTGCTTTTTGTTAGCAAAATTTTCTACCATATACGAAATTCCTTCGTTTGGCGGAAATCTTTGTTATTTTTTAGTGCATGTATTTTAATATTGAAGTTCAGTGGACATTTTCATCTCTATCTGTGCTAATATTTACTTCAAGCTACTTACTGTTTATTTCAAAAGCACTAAGTTAATTTTCTCAAATACTATTGCAATTCTTGTTGAGAGTAATTTATGATATATCTCTGCTTAATAGGTATTAAGTCACTTTTATGAAGAACATGCCATTACTCTCACAAAAACCTAAATTAAAAAACAAAACAAAGCAAAAAAATTACGTATTCTGCAATAAAGATAAAAAGAACCGCATATAATATCTCTCGCGTTCAGAACAGAAATCATAATTGAATTCAAAAGTCTCAAGGCTAGTTGAGAGTTTTCATTAATATCTAAATTATCAGTTTTATAAATAAAACCGCAACTATGTTTTAAAAAGTCATGTCACGGTATTAACGGCAAACTTGGAAATTTTCAGTGGTTTGTACCCATTACATAACAAAAACTTTTTTTTTTCCCTCTCTCATACTGTGGGAATTTCCCTACCCATCGGGTATTCTAAAATAAATTATGATATAAAATTGTCTGTGTACATTGGGAAGCTAAGAAAATGTGTTTTTATTTTCTTAATATTATATTGAGTAATAATAAGCTAATTAATACTGTAATATTAAACTTTAAATTTTAATACTGTTCGACACAGTTGCTTGGGAAAAACGCAATCTGTGACGTACATACTTTCAACCAATAAGAACACTGGCACCAAAACGGTGGACGAAATTTCGTGGAATAGAACTTCTAAAACTGTATTAATGACTCATGTGAGCGCGAGTGTATTCTCGTATTATTTTGCGATATTCAGTGAATGGTAGTGGATCTTACGTTAAAGAGAGAGCGTGATGTAGCTTAAAAATACTTACTGTCAGGTGAGTTTCAGATGTCATTTCTAAGCTCACGTATTACTTTGTTACATGCTTCATATCATATCGAAACCAGGACTGTGTTTACCAGTTCTGCTTTTTGATTTCTTAAGTGTTGCTTATCGCAAACATAAAATAAAAATATGCACATTTTTTAACAGAGTACCCTTAATTTTGTTGTTTCTAAAACATGAAATATTTATACGTTGGGGAAATAACTCCATCCAGCGAGATTCAACCATACTTATAATTGAGCAACTTAAGTAACGAAATAAAATAAAGCATATATAGTATTATATTCAAGTCGGTAATTTAGAGCTTCCTTTATTACAATTTCAAAGTGTAATTTTATAGAGTAGGAAATATATATATATATAATTTTTTCTCTTACCCACCCATTTTTAATTAACATTTGGATTTTTAGTTCTTACAGCATCTGAAATATTAATGCTATAATTTTAATTTTGAAATTCTTAATAAATGTGAATTTAAGCATTAATCATATAAAAGTATGATGTGTGTTTATGAAGTGTTTTTAATTCATTCTAATTAAATTACTGAAACAGTAAAGCTAATAACAAAAAACTAATTTGAAGAACTGGTTCTATATACTTATGACTATTCGCTACAAGCTGTTTATTTAATATTTTTTAAAGATTACACAGTTTGCTGTGCATAATATTGCACCGCATAATGAATTGAAATTATCTCAATAAATAATTTAATGTAATTTATCAAAAGACAACTCTCTAAAATGTTATATTTGAGTAAATGATGTATGTGTAAAATATGAGCAGCTTTTGAAAGATACATGTTTATGTGTGGTTTATGATTTGCAATTTGTCCTTCTTCATAATAATTATATAAAGTTTTACTCCCTTATAAAATATTTATATATAGAATTCCATTTTAATCATAATTTGTCTATATTACACTATTAATTTTAAAAATGACTGCTAATTGTGCAGTAATCTCTATTTCACAAAAAGAATAAATCGTTGTCAAATATTAACAGTTAAACTCAAGTGACACAAAGTCAGGCAGAATGTGACCAAGTAGAGCAGTTAAATTCCGTGAGTAATTATGTGTCATGAGACTAGAATTGTTCAGAGTTATTAATAAATGCTGTAATCAGAGCCAGATTAAATCTTTTAGATGCCGTAAGCACTTAAAACATTTATACAAGTTTTTCATCATTTCTTTTTGTTTTTGGTCAGGGTTTAGCTGCCTCATGCATTCTATGTTAAAATTACCAATGGGAAATTTTTGTAGAATCTCTTTAACAAGTTCATAAGCATCTTTTTGTGATATTCACTTCCCTTGATACCTTAAGCATGTGTTTATGTTGCGTAGTGCGTAATCTAGTTCTTACTAACACTGTGCTTTCTTGATTTTAAGTTGGCATGATTTGATAATGGCTCTTATATAGTTGTTATCAAATTATGCATAATAATCCACTTATATGCTATTCCTGCAGCTTTCTTTTTTAAACTTTTCTGCATTGTTTTTGAGTAATTACGGTGATACGAAATAAAACATATTCATGATGATATGTCATCTTTAAAAACAAAACCTTCTGTTTAATGATAATAATAATTTTACATATGTACAGATGCAGTAATTCAGCTTATTTTGTTAGGTGCGATAAAGTATATTTTCAGCCAGAAATGTCATATGCAGTAAATATAGCCTTAAATAGTACAATACTGGTAGTGTCTTCCTTTTTTTGGTCCCTACCTTTTTTTCACATATTTATCTCCCTGAAAGGCCGTCTTCATAGATTGCACAATTTACTTTAGCAGAATTTTAGTAACTAGTACGGCTACTGTTATTTCAGATGTTTATACAGTCAAAAGTCATTAATCTGGACTCGTCAGGACTTCGGCGATTCCGGATTATCGATTTTTCCGGATTATAGATCATCAGTTTTAAATCTGGTAAGATGGCATGCAGAAATTATAAAATTAAAATATGAAACCGTTTTTTGAAAAAAGAGCAATTATGATCTAAAGGGTATCAAAATTTTAACACAACACAAAAAAAGGGGGGAGCTTAATATTTATTTCTTTACTTTAAAACCTTCTTTCAACGCGCGCAAGCGTAAAGCATACTTCCATAGTGAAATTAGAAAAAATTGCAAACCAAAACTATTTGATGTGTATTCGTAATATTTATAATGATGAGGAATTTGATTTAAATCAGAGCAAAGACGGAATACATCGAGATGAAGTACTACTTTGGTAAGGAATATAAGCCAAATAAAATGAAACATCTGCCTGAAATAGGATAGTGATGACAGATCAACTCCAATTCATGCCACCGCAGCGTTTTCCCCCCCCCCCACACACACCTCCCGAGCGTGAAAATAAACAGATTTCGGAATGTTTAGGTCATTTTTTGAAGCAATTCCACTTTTGTTTAATGGACTTTCGAAACATACTTTCGCTTTGTAGATCCTTTACATATTAGAAATATATATCGGAATTCTTTAAACATATCGAAAGTTCAAGCTTATTTTTAAAATTGCTCTAACAGTCTCAAAAAATAATAAGCCTGATCCAATTCGAAGATTAAGGAAGAACGCAATCTGCAAATTACTGAATTAGTAATTTTATCTTAGCTTATACTGTCCTTTACAGAAACCGCGCATGCGTAAACGTATTTTGGCATCCACGCTGCTCAGCCATAAAGATCTTGCTCGCATCCATCACGCGCGCATCGCGAAAGTTTGTAGCTTGAGTCCTATTATAGATCATTCCAGATTATGGGTGTCCGAATTAACAACTTTTGACTGTATTATAGCTAACTAAATAATTCAGTAATGGGATTTTCAATGCTGGGATTGGGAGGGGACTTTTTCCATCATCTGTCGAAACAATAAAAAATAGTACAGGACTTTTCTTGGTATTAACCCTCCAAGCAGCTAAAGGTATGGCCCAAAATCCTTAACTTCCTAAAGGCCTTGAGTAAATATTACTTCCTTGACTATAATTCCAAAATAATACAGTCAAAAGTCGTTAATTCGGACACCCATAATTCGGAATGATCTATAATCCGGACCTTAAAACAAAAACTTTCTGCACATGCGCTGCGTTGACACATGCGCATAGGCGTTACGGCGTGCGCATAAGACCTTTTAACGACTGCGCATATGAGGTGCGCAAAGTGCAGAATGCGTTTCGCGTGCGCGTTTTATGTATAATGGACTATAACTAAAATTATCTAATTATCTATTTCAGTTAATGTTGATGATTGCGTGTTCCTTAATTTTCGATGGATCCGGCTTATTTTTTTTGCGACTGTAAAGAGCAAATTTTATAAAAGTAAGCTTAAACTTTCAATTATATCATAGAATTTCCGATATATATTGTTAATATGTATATCAAAGCGAAATATTTTGAATCCGATCTGTTTATCAATTTTCACGCTGGGGGCGGGGGGATCTTGCTGTGGGCGCGTAATGAAGGGAAGTTGATCTCTCGCACTATCCTTATCTCAGCGCGGATGTTTTTATTTTTATTTGGCTTATAATTCCTTACCAATGTAGTTTTCATCTCGATGCTCCGTCTTTGATATGATTAAAACAAGTTACTCGCGAGAAAGTGAAGAGGTTATTGAAAACGAAAAGTTTCGATTGACAAAGGCGGTGTTCTCGACATAGCCTTATAGGACTGACAGCGGAACTTTGTACAACCAAGAATTATGTCGTTTAATAGAATAAAGAGAAAGTATTATCACATGAACGAAGCAAAACTTAAACAACTTACATTGAAAGAAATGAAAGTAACAAATAAATATTAAGCTTTTCTTTTTGCAATTTTGACCTTTTAGATCATAATTGTTCTTTATTTCATAATTTATTCATCTTTATTTTTAGAATTTCTGCATGCCATCTTACGAGATTTAAACTGATGATCTATCTGGAAAAAATCGATACTCCGGAATCGCCGAAGTCCCGACGAGTCCGGATTAACGACTTTTGACTGTACTCCAATTTTACTGTGACTCTTATATATATTCTTAAATAATATAAAATTTGGAATAATTAATTCTTTAGTTTATATGTATTGGCTCATCTACAGTGTAGCAGCTTTGTCATCAAATGCACATATGCAGTCGACCAAAGCTAGCCTGTTTTGTTTGTGATAATTATATTGTATTTGTTTCTGCTGTGTTTTTTATATTTGATTATAAGAAGGTCTTCAAGCATAGAAAATTTTTTTTATCACAAACCAAATAGGCTAGTTTTGGTTTAATTCCACATGTGCATTTGATGAAAGGGACAGCCAGAACAGCAAGGTGCCTATGTTCTGTAATAGTCTGTGTGCTATATTTAGTTCTCCAAATTCTTAAGAATTGCTTTATGAAGTTTTGTGGTTGGAAAATATGAAGGTAAGAAACATTAAAATAATTATAACAGTTGAAAAAGTACTATGTGCATTGTTAGTTGAAATGTATAAGAAAAAACAAAAGCGTGAGACCCCAAATTAAAAAGAGTAGGCAGAAGAAAGAAAAAAAGCCCCCCAAAATAAAACAACTTTGTTATTAAAATATCATACACAGAAAAAGATTTAGTACTGTTCCGTTATCGGGACTAGATTCAGAAATGTGTGAATATATGGACATGTGTACGTATGTGCATACATGTATGTGTACACACACATACATTTGAACACATAAATATATATATATATGCATACATGAACACGTACATCCATATATGTACACATATATTTTTGAATCCAAGTCCTGATAACAGAACAGTATCAAAGATTTAATAGATATCGTCTCTGCCGGTAAGGTTGAACAGCCTGAACAAAAAACTGTATTATCATATGAAGTCACCTCTGCTTACAAGGCTGACAATAAATATATAGAAGAAACAGATACGTGCACATCAACAGATGTACGTAATTATATAGATAACATTTTTACTGATGATATGAGAAGATTTCTGTTGGGAGTACAAAAATAAGTCTGCTATTTGACAAAAAGGCCACCAACAG